ATTGCCTTTCTTTGGGATTGGAATGAAAACTGACCTTTTCCAGTCCTGTGGCCACTGCTGAGTTTTCCAAATTTGCTGACATATTGAGTGCAGCACTTTCACAGCATCATCTTTTAGGATTTGAAATAGCTCAACTGGAATTTCATCACCTCTACTAGCTTTGTTCATAGTGATGCTTCCTAAGACCCACTTGACTTCACAGTCCAGGATATATGGCTCTAGGTGAGTGATCACACTATCATGGTTATCTAGGTAATGAAGGTCTTTTTTTGTATAGTTCTTCCGTGTATTGTTGCCACCTCTTCTTAATATTTTCTGCTTCTGCTAGGTCCGTACCATTTCTGTCCTTTATTGTGCCCATCTTTGCATGAAATGTCCACTTGGTATCTTATTTTCTTGAAGAGATCTCTGGTATTTCCCTTTCTGTTGTTTTCCTCTATTTTTTTTGCATTTTTCACTTAGGAAGGCTTTCTTAGCTCTCCATTCTGTTCTTTGGAACTCTGCATCCAGATGGATATATCTTTTAGTATCTTTTAGACACTGAATTTTTTTTTTACTAAATCCCTGCATTCTAAAAGGAAAAGAAATTATGAATTCTTCTTGATACTATTTTTTTATTAAAATTTTTTTTGGCATGTAGTTGCTTTATAATGTTGTTTCTTGCTGTACCTCAAAGAGAATCAGTCATACGTATACATATATCCCCTCTTTTTTGTATTTCCTTCCCATTTAGGTCACCACACAGCACTGAGTAGAGTTTCCTGTGCTATATAGTAGGTTCTCATTGGTTATTTATTTTATACATAGTGGGCTACCATCTATGGGGTCGCACAGAGTCGGACACGACTGAAGCGACTTAGCAGCAGCAGCAGCAGTAGTGTATATATGTCAGTATTATTTTTTGTATTGTGACTATTTTGCACACACTGTGGGATTGAAGAAATGAGTTAATATAATGATGTCGGCAGCCCATACCCTCTAAAAAATGAAGGTACAAATATGAAAAGGGAAGAAAAAGCAGGAAGTGTGTGTGTGTGTGTGTGTGTGTGTGTGTGTCTAGGAAGACAGGGAGGGGAAGAGGAAGAGAAAGAAGAAGAAATCTTCCACTGAAAGGAACTAAAAGCAAGTATTCCTCAGTGGTAATTGGCATGCATTACTATCCAGATTTTAGTTTCCAAAGATCATTGCCCCACTAAAAATAAGCAGGATTCCTATGAGAAATGGCTGATTTCAGGGATGGAACAACAGACAAGCAAAATGGATATGGAATATTTCCATTTGCAAAAAAAGCAAGAATGTGTCTTAAAAATGAAGGGAATATGTTAAAGGGCACAGCTTAAAGAGAGTCACCTTCCCAAAACTGAGAAAATTTGAGCATCAAAATAAATACTTAAAGACTTATAACCCTCTGAATAATAAAAGAATCCATGTATTCATATTGATAAATAAATAGGAAAAACCTTCCTTATAATATCATGCAAACTCATAAATGTAGGTAGAAAAATGATAGAAATCATCATTCTCAGCCAAAGTAATTATTGATTCAGGCAAGATTCATTGATGGTTACTAAAACAAGTAGATAAAAGTTTGATGTGGGATAGGAGTTTTCAGTCTCCAAGTACCTACCCTCAGTTTACTTATTAATTAAAAATAGAAAGATAGTAAATTTATAGTGGAGAGATTTGGTAGACCCCACCTTAACCAAGTGATCAAAATTAACATATCCAAATATGGGGCAGATAGACATACAGGAGCCTGATATGATGCACTGAGAAAGATGCAGTATCATTTCTGTTCCATTATTGCCAAGTTTGCAGAAGGAAACTTGAAAGGAACCTAAATTAAGGGACATTCCACAATGTAATTGTCTGTTACTATTTAAAAAAAAAAAAAATGGAAGGAAGGAATCATGAAAGACAGCTCTTCCAGATTACATTCTCTTGGATGAATGACAAACAGATGCAATGCCTGATCCTGGATATGATTCTGGGTTGGAAAAAAAAAATTGCCATAATGATATTATTGGGACAATGGATGAATGAAATAAGGACTATAGAACAGACTGTGCTGTGTTAATCAACATTGCATTTCCTGATTTTGAAAACTATACTGATTGTCTTCATTATTGGAAAGTATATACAGAAGTCGTTAGGGATAAAGAGTTGCAGGAAAAAAAAATTGAAAGAGAAGAAAATGATACAGAAAATCTGGCAGAATTGGTGAATCTGAGGAAAGGGTATATGGCAGTTCATCTATTCTTGAACATCATCTGCAAGTTTGAAATTACCTCCAAATAAAAAGTTTTTTAAAGCCTGGTGGAAAGAATCTAAATAGAAAATATGGATCTATGTATCAATACCTCCTAAAAATCATACCATAGTTTTGAAAAAAATGATTCTGAGATCTATATCCCCATTTCTAAATGTCAAGGAGGGCTGTCATGAAGGGGAGAGAAGCAAGGTTGCCTTAGGGGATTGAGACAGTGGATATGGCAGCTGTGGAACAGGTTAACTTACACAGTTTAGGATTCAGGCCAGGGTCAGCAGTGGCGGGAGTGAAGACAGGTCACCAGACGCAGAAGGCATTTCTCATGCCACCACTCCATTCTTCTTCCAAAACCTAATGTGTTTACGCTGAATGTTTTTGTTTCCTTGTTATTTTGCTAGTAACCTAGTAACCACATTCAACCTAGGATCCTGTAGCACCTTATTTAGCATTCAGGTACCTACAAGGCTCTGAGGAGCAGGAAAGCAGTACTTTTAAGAAGGCAAAGGGAGAGGGGAGGGACTCAAGTACAGTTCAGTTGAATTTCTCATTGTATTCTCATGTTCAAAAGTCATTGATTAACCAGGAAAACAACATGTTTAGTCTGCATTTGGAATTATGCTTTCATGAATTTACCTGAGATTCTCTTCTGTGACCTAAACAAATATCAGGTTATGAATCTATGACAGGTCTTAATGAAGTAGATTAAGGCATTTCTTCCATTTACATTTTCATAGAATGAAATAAACATTGTAATCTTTTTTACAGAACACTTTCATATCAGGCCATGATTTGATTTTCTACCTGTTCAGAATATCAAGTTTTGCATTTCTTTAAGCCCTAATGCCTTTTCGTGAGCAATAAGACAGAAGTCATCCCTGAGAGATTTATAATAGTACTTAGAACAAACTTGTCAAAGATTCTTCTACAAGATTGTTTTGGATCCTAAGGAGATATATTTAGTAACTGTATTGAACAAGTTGTCACGTAACACAACACTTCATTGATTTATTTGTATTATTTTTGTGTCTTTACTGCAGGCAGAGAATTCAGCATTGGTTTTGGAAAATGAAAATCAAAGGGAACAGTATGAGAGATGTCTTGATGAGGTAAGGGGAATGGAGAGGTTCTGGATAAGAGGCTGGACTATTTAGGATTCCTTGGTCAGATCTTAATATATGTCTATTACCAGTCCTGAACAAACATTAGCATTTAGTCCTTGAAAGGGAGGTTGTAAACGAGGAGTATGGATAAGGAAGGTCAGTCCGTCCCCTCCCCCTCCCTCCCTATATCCTTATACAAGCATCTACAAATTCCTTTTGGTTATTGTTTAGTATTCTCGGGGCATAGGTTGGGAGATGCTTCACTGTGTGATAAATTCCTCCTGTCCAGCAAGTGTGATCCCAGCCTGTGAATGAGAAAAGCTGCCTCGGGGCATACTGCATCGTCTCCAGTCGGATGCCATTTCTGAATAAAAGCAAAATCCTTGATAGAGTGGGTGGGGACGGTGTTCACAGTTGGCAGCCAGAGGGAAAATATCAGTCAGTAGATTGAGAACAAGCCAAGAAGACAAAGGGAAGTGAGGAAGAAAATTTGAGCAGAATGGAAGGAGACAGAGCCACGAGCATGAGCCAACTTAAGAAATATGATTTGATGATAATGGAGAAGTGAAAGCAAAAATGGCAGGTATCTCAGATTCCTGAGAAGGGAAGGAAAATTGAAAAGTATACAGGGCCCTCATTTTCTTCTCAGTCATCCTCTCACACCTGGCAGGGATTGTAACTTCCATCCTTCTGGTATCACCTAGCCAGGACTTGCCAGTGACCTCCCTGACAAGCTCTCGTCTGGGATTGGTTGGTAATTGGAGTTATTCATTTAATGGGATGACTCTTCCAGTCATCTGCCCAATACCCTAAAACTTGCACATATCCTTCTAGAAGATTCGGTTTAATAGTTGTTATGATAGAGCTGACTGAGATTTCAAGAAAATTAGAAAAATTATATTCAGTCACGTTCCACTCCCTGAGCAATGGAAACTGGAAGTGTATCTTCAGTCTTTTCCTCTTCACTTGGCTTCCCTGGTGGCTCAGAGGGTAAAGCGTCTGCCTCCACTGCGGGAGACCTGGGTTCGATCCCTGGGTTGGGAAGATCCCCTGGAGAAAGAAATGGTAACTCACTCCAGTACTCTTGCCTGGAGAATCCCATGGACGGGGGAGCCTGGTAGGCTAACAGTCCACAGGGTTGCAAAGAGTCAGACACGACTGAGCGACTTCACTATCAACTGGGAAACTTTTTCCAACCAACGCTCTTGGACTTCCTTACCTCTTCCCTCCCCACTGCCCATGAAGGTGATGGAGTAAATGACAAAGAACACAATTAAAAAGCCCACTTGTGGCATAGGCACCTCTGCCATGTGCTTCTCTTCTCCCTCGAAATTAGAAATGGTGTTTCCTCTCAGAGTTCCACATGTGCTTGATATTTTCCTACACCAATGGTCCTTATAATGTGATCCCTGAACTGGCAACATCAGCCTCATCTGGGAACTTGTTAGAAATGCAAATTTTTTTAAAATTAAATTTAAATTTTATTTTGGCTGTGCTGGGTATTTGTTGCAGCATGTAGGCTTTCTCCAGCTGCAGCTCTGAGGCTTCTTTCTTGTTGTAGCCCAAGGGCTTCTCTTGTTTCAGGGCACGGACTCTAAGGGAAGCCCCAGAAATGCAAATTCTTAAACCCAGCCATAGAGAATCAGAGACTCTGGCAGTGGAGGTGGGCCTGGCTGTGATCTGTGTGTCAGCAAGATCTCTGGATGATCCTGTTGAACCCTGCAAACCGAGAGCCATCCTCATAAGACGCACCGCTTGCTTCACAGTCACTTGTTGAAGAACCTTGAAACAGTCCCTAGAAAATTGTTTAGTTATTTAATATATATATATATTTTTAGTTATTTAATACTTTACTTGTCTCATATCTCCAGCCATATGGGGCTTTCCTGGTGGCTCAGATGGTAAAGAATCTTCCTGCAATGCAGGAGACCCAGGTTCGATCCCTGAGTCGGGAAGATCCCCCGGAGGAGGGCATGGCAATCTGCTCTAGTATTCTTGCCTGGAGAATCCCACAGACAGAGGAGCCTAGTGGGCTACAGTCCACAGGATCGTAGTCGACACAACTGAGTGACCAACACTTTTCCAGCTCTATATATTAGTTACTCAAGCAAGATGGTGTTTGCAATCCCTCTGCCCTGTCAAGACTTGAAAGGACTCAGAATAATCTTTACAATGTCCAGAGTTAAAAGAATCACTCAAATAAGTTGACATCAAAGGGGACGTGATGACTCATGTCTAGTGAGGCCAGTTCAGCCCCTCTCATCTCTGTTCCCCAGGCTCTTGGTCCAGTCAAAGCTGAGGGCAAGAAATTCCGAACAGATTGAAGGAACAAATACTGTACTTGGGTCATAAGTACTGATCAGCAAAGTACTACCTTAACCTCCTGCACAGGAATTTCTGATGAGAATCCCTATTCAAAAGTCAAAGTTGCGTGAATCACACCACATAAACTTCATTTGTCACCGTTTTCCCATAAGTCATCCTTCCTCATCAGTCAAAAAACTCCCAGCATTTATTTATGGAAACTCAGGGTCTGTTTCCTATATGTCCTCTATGCCTGCATCCCAAAGGTTTCATAGAATGTGACTAGCAAAACCGAAGTTTTCACCCACAGAATCATTTAGTATAAAGTTTCCACGGAAGACAGAATTTTCAGAGGGAGAATTTCTCCCTTCTTAATTGCAGAAATTAACTGTTGCCAAAGAGGTGATTTGTAACAAAGAACCACCTCTGAGCAGTACAAATGTTTTGTATTCATGAATCCTGGCCCCTGATTACACATGCCAGTTGTTTTGTAACTAATTGCAGGAAGGGAGACAATCCATTTCTATGCATTGCAAGAGAACACTCTCAAAGGGGTAGTTGAATGTAGTAATAATGCCAACTGGAAATTCTTTTCCAGGCTTTTTGTACTAATTAAACAAACTAACAAGGTAAGGCCTCATGTTAAGTTATTTCCTTTTAGTTTCATAAAATATACACAGGTGGATAAAATGTAAATTTGAAGTGTTCTTCAATCCCTTTTGCACTGATTCTTATTTTCTGAGAAATGAAGAACATATTGAGGGTTTGGGGAAAGCACTTGGGGGTCAGAGATTCCCTCTGATTCCCTAATAAAAGGATGTGTTTATTCAGAAGGAACAGACAAGGATCCATAGTTACACACTCACACATACAAATACGTGCACACATTTTGTCACTTCATCATCATCTCTACTGCCACCCAAACGCTCATCTCCTCACCTTGCAATACAAAAGCAAAACCAAGGACCACTCTTGATTGTGAGGGAAGGGACTAGAGGTTTCCATGTTTGCATCTAGCTTATGTGTCCAGCTGTTTGACAGTTCACTGGCAAGCGGTGAAGTGTTTATTCTCAGTATCGCCTTGGCCAGTTCCTATAAGATGAGTTTATTCCCAAGTAAAGAAGTATAATGACACATATAACTTCCTCAAGCTAATGTCTTACATTTGGATAGATTCAGCTGTGTCCTCCAAACCTTTGTAAGATACAAACCTTGCCCAGGCTCTGGGATCTCAGGGTGCCCCCAGCCTAGCAGGATAAGTGAGGGATATAGTTAATCCTAGAGGAAGGAGGTGAGGGAAACTCACAGAGGAAATGGGCTACACTGGGGACTTGGACAACAGACAGCACAGTCACCAAAGGTCAGGAGGAATGGTGGGCAGGAGGTAAAGAGGGCAAAACTGAAAGGACCTCTTTAGTAGAAAGAGCTGGAGCAGGTGAAGTCAGATCTAGAAAGGTGAGTGATTCTCACTCTTACCAGCACATTGGACTTACTGTGGAGCTTTGAAAGAACAGCTGGCTGTCCCCAGAGATTCTGACCTGATACTGCTCTAGATCAGAGCCTGAGTATTAGAATTTTTTAAAGCACTCCAGGGGTTTATAATATTCAGCCAAGATTAAGAACCACTACCCTTACGTCTCTGAATGTGTGCTTTAGAGAGTGTTTTCAGAAAGCATCTGTTAGAGGATGAAAGCTCCACCGAACTGGATATGATGATAGAAGAGCCAGGTGAACCCATGCAGAAATTTAAAGTTATTTCCAATTCCCTAACAGTGTCTGAGCAAAAAATAAACCCTAGCCCAGTGTTTCTCAAATTGTTTCCCCAGGCCCCTTCTGCATCACGACGAGGTGTCTCAATTGTTAAAAATTTGATTCTTAGACTTCACTCAGCTACTCTTAAACAGAATGAGGGGTGAGAGAACTGGCAATTTGAAGAAACTTCCCAGCCACCAAACACAGAAGTTGGAGAACCTGCCTCCCCATCAGGCCATTAGAGTTAGACCAGAGTTCATAGTCAGCCGGGTTACCAGAGTATTTGAGTTCTTCTTTGACTTTTCCACACTCTATACTTCAGAGCACAAGGACAGGAAAAACCAGACCTCTGGGTGTAGTTCAGAAAAAAAGGGGAAAAAAAAGCATCAGAATTTCTTTTAAAGCAAGACTAACTAAAGGCATGAGTAGGTTAAGAACAGTTTTTACTTTTCTTTCTTATTCCTATGGGATATGCCAAGACTGGATTGCTGAATCATCTACCACATCTGGGACCTAAGTCATCTTTAAAATCAATGTCTTGACAAATGTGGATGGAACATGGTGTTGCTCATGGCTCTCATGCTTCAAATGTCCATTTCAAGTCTGTTTCATGAACGGATCATTAAATCAACAGATAATCCACTTCTTGTGCCTGCTCTAGACTCTAACCACCATTAGCAGTACTTTTGTTCTCATTAACAATATTTCTCCAATATTCAGCACAATCCTTGGCCCAGACTAGGTCACTCAGTGCATACGTGTTGAATAACTAAATGAACGAATGGAGATTATGAGCAGCAAATTAATTTCCAAATTAGTTTTTGCTGGAATTCCGCATACATATTTAGATGAATTTCTCCCACTCCCAGGATCTTACAGGATTTCTTTTTACAGAGTAAATAAATAATGTAGATGCTTAGTGATTTTTGTTTATGCGTGTATTTTACACACAAATACACACACACACAGACTTCATCCCATTATAAATGAAAGACCTTCTTCTCAAACCATCCTTCCTTAATGCTTACCTGAAAATGCATTTTACTTCCTGAGGTTTGAGTGACCAGATTCGGATTTAACATTTTTGTCAGGTATTTTTCATCAGGTCCTGTCCAAGGTGGTTTCTCTGATGATGTCTGTCATCTCATACTTTTTTCACAACAACTTCAGAGGCAGACGGTTCCCCTGCATTACAGATGAGGAAAATTAGATTGCTCTCCCACCCCTGTGTATATCAGAGATTGGTCAACACAGGACAATATTGGAACCCGGGTTTTTCTTGTGATTCTGCCACCACCTAAATGGTGGCATCTAAGTGCTCCTCACAGTTGCCCCCAGCTGTCTTCCTACAATAAACCACGGTCAAAAGTAGAGAACACTTCTCCAAAGCACAATTTCTAAAACATGTGCTTTTGTGACCAGTTTTTTAATTACCTGGCTGACATGGCAGTGGCTTTGCATGTAAAGCACATAAAAGGATGAAAGCAGGACAACCAGGCAGGAGAATGAGACTTTAAGCATGGTGTCCACTGAATTCCTCACTCGCGCACCTTCGACCCCATCTCCAGTTGTCTTCTGGATGTGGTGAGCATTGGCTCCCTCTGGAGTGAACTCCCAGATGTGGCTTCTCATTCAGCCCCAGAGGCTGTTGTGCAATCAAACAACAGACAGATCTGCATCCCCGATTCTGCTCCCTCTGCCCACCCACTCTGAGACCCCTCTGCACCTGACAGGGAAGAACAGAGATGCGTGTGGGTCAAAGATGAACCAGGTGTCAGAGAAGCTGGCTTTTCGGAGAGAATTCTTATGGAGAGGAAAGAAGAGATGTACCGCAGTGCCCACCCGTCCCTCTTCCTCTCCTAGATGTGAAGGGGGAGCTTTCCACAAGGAGCCTAAGGGACATTGTCAAACAAGCCAGGGGCTTAAGGACTGTCAGCTTTGCTCACTGTCTCAGGTCCCTGTGACCCAGCCCAGCTGCTCTTTTTTTTTTTTTTCTTTCTTTCTTTCTTTGGAGAGGAAAGCTGTCAGCTGACACTGGAAGGTATTTGTTCTCATTAGCTGGGCCTGGCAGTGTGTGATTATTTGCAACCCCAGTGCTGAGGGCAGGATGCTATGATGAAGGCAGGGGCCCATTTCCAGGGATCATCTTGTGAGACTAGTAGAGGTTGCAGGCACAAACTCCGAACAATTGTTCTGTTCATGCATCTGGGAAGCCTAGCTGTTAAAAGTCCTAACAAAACCCAAGAAACTATCCTTGTAGAGAGTACCAAGGAAAGCATTTGTATCACTTGCCTGCTTTTCTGCAAAGAACCTGTGAGCCCTTCCGGGTAAAGAACCCCATGTCAGTAGGTAAAGAAATAATGCATTTGTGTATCTTTGTTCAATTTTCGGGTAGAGCAAACAATTGTCCAAAATACATGCCAAAAGTAACTGTATCACAAATAGAGTCTGTAAGCCTATAGGGCAAACATACTTGGATTGCAAAGATATAACATATTTACTCCTGCAGGCTTTTACAGATAAGATACTCATTTATGACTCCTGTTAAATCATGTAGAGAGCTATTTTATGTGACCACCATTCTACAGACTAGTTTAAGTGAGGGGCCAGTTCTGAGGAAGAAAAGAAAATATTGATATTAGGCAGTTTTATGAGAATGTAAATCAAATCCAGAGGTTGCTATACAAAAGAATTAAATTATTTATGGTATAAATTAAATTTGGTACATTGCTTCTGACTTAAGCAGCATGAATAGTTCAGTTCTTCTGTTTTTCTTTTTTTTTTTTAATTTGCAAGAATAAAATAGATGGTATGTAGTTTGACTTTAAATTCTCATGAATTTGAATGAACATTTAAAAACTGAAAGATTTTCAAGATAATGCTATTGGTCAATTTGTGTGGACTGAGTAACATTTATCACTATTGTGATCATGTATAAATAAAGTGATAAAAGAAAAAGAAACAGCCAGCACGAGTTACAGAAAATGACTGATTTTAGTCTACAGTAATTCTTAGATATCTTCTTTAACTTGGACTGGACTAAAAGAAATACCTAATACTTTTTCTTCAAAACTATAGTTAGTTTCAGTAAAAAGCCTTTCTTTTAAACTTAATGTCAGCAATGTAAATTTGAAAAGGATTCTGATAGGAAAAAAATTCCCTCTTGTACATATCAATTATATAGGTAGTCTGGTTTTAGTCATTTACTACTTGTGGCGTGAATGTCTGCTAATCACAAATAGATGACAGCCTCTGTTATAATTTTCAGTGAGGCTTACTGGTAGCCAGCTGTCATTAAGGATATGCTGTTTTGTCAATATTGAGCCAAGAAGCAAATTCCATGAAAACGTTTTTACCTTAATCTATTCCAGTATACTAAAAAGAGATATGAGCATACACAATTTAGTATCAACAAAAATTTAATTTGCTATCAAGAGAAAGAGAAGATAGAAATGTGGTCTTTAGTCTTTGGTTGAATGTGAGAATTAGCAAGATGATTACAAGTTTATCATACTTATAACTGTGTTCTTGCCTACCTCTTACCAGCTATGTTCCTTTTGCCACCAAGAAACACAGCCCAATCATAGATACTCTGCAAATTTATATTGGATAAGTGAAGGAAGAAATGAATGGACAGAAATATTTAGGATATTTAAATAGCCTGACTTGGTCTTTAATGTTGTCAGTTTCAATTATCACACTAAATGTTTATCATATGTGTATGTACTGACTAAAAAATTCCATATAATTTGCCTATCTACCATAATTTTATCAATAGTAGCCATATGGATATATAATTTTAAGATTGTGGTGAAGTTTAATAAGTGACTCTCTGTTAAGTGTTTTTGAAATCTCCAGGTGAAAAAGAAATCTTAGTATAAATACATGTAGAAAGATGAATAGTTTTCTGGAGAAAATGCCAGATCCTTGAAATATGAGGGACATGTTGTTGATTTTTCACATGGCCTTTAACTAGAATTGTGTCACATGCCCACTCCTAAGCCAGTCACTGAAAGGGAATGAAATTACCAACACCAAGATTCACCTCCTAGGGCCAAGAGGGGTCCAGCTTTTCCTGCTGTCCCAAACTGCCTGATACCTGAAGAAAATTAGGGTTCTAGTAATAAGTGACAATTTTATTTAGTTGTATATTAGAAGAAACTCAACATAACAATGGCTATTTTATTTCTACTTCATATATAAGTTCAAATATAAGAAATAGTGCATTCCATACATCATCAGGACAAGGCTCATTCTATTTTTCAGCACCCAAGTACTTAGTATGTGACTTTCATTTTCAAGTTGGCTACCAAAGCTCCAGCCATCACTTTCATATCCCAGTTAGGAAAATAAAAAATAAAGATGGGCTCTCTTTTTTTATGAGACTTCCTATCCATAAGTCCAAGAAAATAAGACTGCCCGCAACTCATTGGGCCAGAATTTTGTCACACAGTGACAGGGGAGGTTGGGAAATGCATTTGTATGTATCCAGGCAAAAAAAAAATCAGGGGAAGAAGGGAAAAATAAAGAATACAGTAAGCAACTATCAGACTCTCTTATAGGTAGTAACGACAGAGGATAATATAAACAAAGATGTGGAGGAGGAAAGCAAAGCATATGTAAGAAGCATATATATATGAAGGAGCTGCCTCTGTTCTGCACTTTCCACCTGCCTCTATTGCAAGTAATTTCAGGCAGTGAAATAGTCAGACAGCAAAAGAATGGAAAGGAGAGGCAAAGGGCATTATAAATCGGCAGTGTAAACCTGTGTACAGATAATTAGGATCACGTTTTGTGCTATATCATTTTTTAGCCTTCTTAAAGTACTTTACATATGAAAGGATATAATTTTTCCAAATATGGAAATGTGGAAGTCAAGGTATGAATGATCTTTCCAGCCTAACCATCTTAATTAGCAACAAGGTCACCTTTGGAAAATGCAAAATATTACCTAGAAGGATAGGCTTATTATGAAAAGAATCAGACCCTCTAGAAGTAGAGGAAAGGACCAGACGAGGAGCTCATTAGCTTTGGGAAACTTATTGGTAAATTAGAGTCTGTGCGTGTAAGGTCTCATCATTATAATCAGCAACTCTTTTCTCTATTTTTTAAAGGTAGCCAACCAGGTTGTACAAGCTCTGCTCACTCAAAAGGTAGGTCACTTCCCAGCTTTATTATTTCCGTAGTACTTAGTGAATAGACTGGAACTCACATTGTCAAACTAAAGGAAACTATGATTGATAGCTGCAATACTTTTCCATTTATTCAGTTAGGTTAAAATTGTATGCGTTTTAGATGGCATATGAACATCAATGACCAATAGATTCATAAAATTTAAACTCTTGGGAAAGTAATAGAAAGCTTTTTGAAGATGAAAGATTTCCATGGGCCTACCTAGATGAGTAGCAAACCTATCATTTTTATTTAGTAAATGTAAACATTAAATAAGTTGATGGATTCCTCTGGCCCCTATAAAATGAATAGCCTCTGATGGACAGCATTAACAGAGGCCTAAAATTCAGCAAGAGATCTTTGAGGTTAGGAAGATTATTTAACTTCTCTGGGCCTTAATTCCTCTTCTCTAAAATAGAGATAGCAGTGTCCACCTCCCAGAATTGCTGTGATCACTCTATGAAAAGGAGCAGGAGGAGCTGTTCCCACACGAACAGCTTCGTGGTAAAGATAAAGCAAATGGTGGTACTGTATGCTTGAGAGCTGCTGAGAGGAGATCGTAAGCCTTCTCTCCACAGATTTTCTTTTCTTTTTTTTTAGAGAGTTGAATAAGTTAGGGAAAAACAAATGTTAGTCTCTGAGCATGAAATTTTTATACCTTCTCCTTTGTTGTCATCTTATTCTGCCTTCAGATCATGTTATTGGGGCAGAATGGGTAAATGCAGGTGGTTTCCCCAAACTTAGCTAGTTTGGTGAATTTTATTGAACATTTTGCATCTCTTTCCATGATCTATCTGAGGCTGAATTCTAATTCCTTCTGATTTTGTTTATTCTGAGTTACTGCTCTGTGAGACAGAGATATCCTCTTAAAAGTAAATGTTGGAACGTGTGACTTGTTCAGGCAGATGTGGCTTAGGAGAGCAAAATCACTTATGGCATTTTTATTTTTTTAATTGAAAACAATTTTAGGGGTTGGCTACTTCTCATGAATGTACTTAAATAAATATTATTTTAAATGTATGCTATAAAAGCATTCTGATAACAGTTTTGCTAGACTTTCTCCCCCAACTACTGTTAAAATATCATGCTTCCTGGTACAAATGATTTTAACTGGTTCAGATTTTACATTAACATTACATGAAGAGAGAGTTGAGTGCACTTGTTAGGTTAGAAGTAGATTCAATTGTGAATAGCAAAAATCCAAAATAATGATGGCTTAAATCAGCTAACATAAAATTAAATCAGTTATTTGCTTCTCAGATTTAAATCTGCAGGTGGGGAGTACATAGCCAGCATGATGGCTTTGCGCCATAAAATTCATAGGGTCGCAGGCATCATGGTTTCTATCTTGTTATTCTGTGGGATGTGGCCTCCATTTCCACAGTTACCTCATGGTTCAAAATGGCTACTCTACCCCAGGCCATCGCATCCGTATTTTAGCCATTAGGAGGGAATGAAAGCCAAAGAAAAGGAAGAGGGTAAAAGACACACACCAGCTATCTTTTAAGAGAGACTTCTAAAAGCTTACACACCTCCCTATTTATATCTCCTTGAACAAACCTTAATTATACAACCACACTTAAGGAAGCCGACGATGGAGTCTTTCTTCTGGGTATGTGCCCAGGTGCAAAGTGGATGTCACCTGGTTGTAGAAGAAGGGGAGAAACAGATGTTGAAGGACAAATCATGATTTCTGTCACAGTGTATTTGAATACTTTTTCTCTTTCAAAGGCTTTAACTTTCAATTGCTCTCCTCCTGTTGGAAATTTGATACTCATTTAATTACAGATGTTAGGAATGCCAAGGAGCGCTGGTGCAGCTCTATCTGTAACTGTTGAAAGACTTCTCATGCCTGTCTTTTTTAATGGTGCTTCCGAAAAGAGACAAGAAAACCGTCTGGCACAATATATAGGAAAATGGGACCTTTCAGGTCAGCCACAAAAAAATAGCTACACAAATTCAAGTAATAACTAGTAAACAGATAAATCTACCTTGGTACAGTTAAGCAGTAAGACACAAAAAGATGTGCTACTGTGAGATAGCATACCTCAGGGACGCTGTGAGCAGGAAAAGATGCCAGAGCTTTCAGAGATTCCAAAAGAATCATGTTCTGCAGAAACGTGCACCTCCCAGTTTTTTATAGAGACTGTAAAATTGCTACAAAAAGACTAAAATTTCTTTTTAATTAAGAGCACAATATCGGAAATGAGATGTACTCCAAAAGAAGATGAGAAACCTAATTCTAAAGAGTGATATAGCTGGTACAGAGTGAAAAACAGAAATCTTGAGTGAATTATCTAAGACACACACATAAACACACACACAAATCCTTGAGGTGAAATTATAGTCATAACCATACAGTTATGGAATATATCATTTGTTGTGACACAAAAGCAAATCTCCCATGACTTCTGTTCCTCCCTCAGCAACCAAAAAAGTATTTTGCTGGTATACTGTGAATTGGCCCTGATAAGCATCTTGAAGTCACAGAGTATATTTCCTTTCTAAGTACTGATAGGAAAAAAAAATTATTTCTATAAATTTAGCAGTTTCTGTTAAATGTATTGATACATATCATGTCCTAGTAAAGTAATTCAGTTTATCTCAAAAATCTATGGTTCTCTTAAGAGAGCTGACTATTCCTCCTTTAGATCAATAACATTAAAGTGACAATATTAAACACAGCTCAGTTCCAATTATGCCTCCAAATCATAGGTCCAAGCCTGTAAGGGCAATCAGTAATCTGAGCCAAACTCATATTTTTGCCTGAAATACATTTTGTCTTCATTAAGACAATTACACACACTGAAATTTTAACTCTTCTATGTTCTTTTTTAATTCTTTTTTTTTTTTTCCACTAACACAAAGTTGGAAGAAAGGCATTTTTCCCTCTAGTTATTTTACAGTATATCAACAATCTTGGTCTTATCTTCATGTTCTTTAAAATAACCAAATATTCATGGTATTTTTTAATTTTCCAACAAGAATTAAGGCTCTTATATGGTGAAATCTAGCAACACAGCCATACAGATAGAAGCAGAACACAATTTTGTAGCTTTAAACTAAAAGAACTCCCAACTTCCATGTATTTCCCTTGTAGAAAGAGCAGTTGGGCCATCTGGGTCCACTTTTCTAGCAATGGTGTGCGTAGGATCTGGTTTCCTTAGAGTCTGTTTATATTTACTGTGCACTTACAAGGAATCAGACTCCACGTCTAGCACTTTAAATGCAAAATCATTTGGTTTTCACCACAGTCTTGTGAGTAGGACGATGAAGATAATTTCCCCATGGTTCCAATTGCTATAAGTGGCAAAGCCCACGTGTTAACCTGGGGTTGTTGCACTCATACTCCATGCCCTTATCCTTTGCACCATTCAGCTTCCACAATCCCTTTCAGTCACTTAATGTTTTCCCCACTGTAGTTCAGCAAGCAGGGAAACACTGTGAAATTCAACAGATGGGTTGAAATCCAATCATTAGTCATATATGATTGCAAGAAATAAAGGGGCAATGTCACAGGTGGATTTCTTAAAACTTCTGGAAGCATTGCCAGCCCTTGCTAGCAAGGACATCCAGGATCTGACTTGCATGAAGTCAAAACTGACTGTAAATTTGGAGCTCTTTCCAAATCAAGCTTTCTCAGAATCAGTCTTATTTTTGGATGATAGAATTTCCCAACTGCCAGAGACCTTAGTGAACATTTAATCTTGAGCTTGTCAACTAGCTTTGATAATAGGCTCAATTTACTGTAATTACACAAACTGTTTAGCCATCACCCAGATTAAAAATGTTTTAATCTGAATGCCTTTTGGATGAAGGCTTCCAGTATTAGTTTGCCATGCATTTTTCCCTCTAGTTATTTTACAGTATATCAACAATCTTGGTCTTATCTTCATGTTCTTTAAAATAACCAAATATTCATGGTATTTTTTAATTTTCCAACAAGAATTAAGGCTCTTATATGGTGAAATCTAGCAACACAGCCATACAGATAGAAGCAGAACACAATTTTATAGCTTTAAACTAAAAGAACTCCCAACTTCCATGTATTTCCCTTGTAGAAAGAGCAGTTGGGCCATCTGGGTCCACTTTTCTAGCAATGGTGTGCGTAGGATCTGGTTTCCTTAGAGTCTGTTTATATTTACTGTGCACTTATAAGGAATCAGACTCCACGTCTAGCACTTTAAATGCAAAATCATTTGGTTTTCACCACAGTCTTGTGAGTAGGACGATGAAGATAATTTCCCCATGGTTCCAATTGCTATAAGTGGCAAAGCCCACGTGTTAACCTGGGGTTTTTGCACTCATACTCCATGCCCTTATCCTTTGCACCATTCAGCTTCCACAATCCCTTTCAGTCACTTAATGTTTTCCCCACTGTAGTTCAGCAAGCAGGGAAACACTGTGAAATTCAACAGATGGGTTGAAATCCAATCATTAGTCATATATGATTGCAAGAAATAAAGGGGCAATGTCACAGGTGGATTTCTTAAAACTTCTGGAAGCATTGCCAGCCCTTGCTAGCAAGGACATCCAGGATCTGACTTGCATGAAGTCAAAACTGACTGTAAATTTGGAGCTCTTTCCAAATCAAGCTTTCTCAGAATCAGTCTTATTTTTGGATGATAGAATTTCCCAACTGCCAGAGACCTTAGTGAACATTTAATCTTGAGCTTGTCAACTAGCTTTGATAATAGGCTCAATTTACTGTAATTACACAAACTGTTTAGCCATCACCCAGATTAAAAATGTTTTAATCTGAATGCCTTTTGGATGAAGGCTTCCAGTATTAGTTTGCCATAAGACTCAGCACTCCCCATTGATTAGAACTGGCCTGATTCAGTGACACAATTATGTTACCTGTCTTACCGTTTTAAGTGTTTGATGTTGAGGTCCTTGATTGGTCTGAGATGTGAACAATCTTTTCCACCAGTGGCTTTTTTTTTTTTTTTAAACTGAAGTATTAGCATTCTTAGGGCTTCCCTTATAGCTCAGTTGGTAAAGAATCTGCCTGCAGTGCAGGAGATCTAGGTTCGATCCCTGGGTTGGGAAGATCCCCTGGAGAAGGAAATGGCAACCCACTCCAGTATCCTTGCCTGGAAAATCTCATGGACAGAGGAGCCTGGTGGGCTGCAGTCCATGGGGTCGCAAAGAGTCGGGCATGACTGAGTGACTAATGCAACAACATTAGCATTCTTGGAAGAGGTAGGGATATGAGTGATGGACACTGAAAAGGATTGTGACAAGGAGGGGCTGGTGGATGTGGTGTCCAGTACGTCTCAGGGAAGGACTGAGGTGGTGGCCCTTGACAAGCCATCTTGCAAAGAAGCTGAGGCATCCCTTGTCTTGAAAGCCTGGTTTTGTGCAGTAACTCCATTTACAGATGAGGGAACTTGAGGCATAACCAGAGTAAGTGACTTCCTCAAGATCATGTGGGTAATAAGGACCAGAGTCCAGGCCCTTTAACTCTCAACCCAGTGTATTCCCATAATACACACACACTACCTCTGAAATAGTTATACCAGTATAATAGCACTTTACATAATAAAATCAAATTTCAATAGCTTTGAACAATAATCTAGTAGTAATATCAGTATACCTCAAGTTTCTAAGCAACCAACATTTTCCTAACTTTCCTTTAGCCTGGAGCTGGTAATGATTTTGCTCTAAGTGCATAAAGTAACCATACCCCATAGCATTGAATAGCAGCGAATCCAGAATCTCGTTCAGCCCCAAGCACAGAGGAAACTTGTTAGGAGTGCTATGTGTGGATCCTCCAGGGAAGTTGGGCATGGGATCATTAAGATACACAGGACCCTTTTAGACCAGTATACGACATTGCTGAGTATATTTTCCCCACACATCCAGCTGTAATGTCTTACTTTGTTTTCAGTTGAGAGTGGCATGCAGATTACAAATAAAACCGGCTATTTCCTTGAACTCAAAAGATTACTGCACTTGCTTACATGAGATGAAATGTAATCAAATCTTTGGCATTGTTTACTTCTTGATAACAATTATACCACACATTCCCTTTTTTTTGCTTCAAAAGACACAATCATATATTTTATTTTCAGTGAGGTCCTCCTCTTGAGACCTGAGACGTACTAGGGGGTCAGAGAAAAAGAAGGGTTGTGCGTGAGGGCAGATGGTCCAGCCCTTATGGGGAGCCATGATCTCAGAGGCTGGCATCTAAAGAGAAAAGTTCTTTAGTTTCTAATGCCTTTCTTGGGAGGCATAGTGTAGTTCCCGTCTCTGTAACTGACAGAGTCAGCATTAATGGTTCTTTCACCCAGCCTCAAAATGTCCTATGCACCTTTATGTCAGTGGGTTCTCATTGTGAGCCCAGAGGAAGAAAAGACGGCCAGCTGACACTCTCTGCCCAGGTCTCACTGTAGTAGTCAGAAAAGTTGTTGTTTTTCTCTCTTTCCATCTATCCAGTCTGGTTGACTTATGTGTATGCACATGGGCACACACATGGTTTTGATTACAGTTTCTTGGGATGAGAGCTGTCTGGCATCATTTACCATCCACAGCTTGAGTGAAGAAAGGAAGAATGTTAGAACAACTCAGAATATTCTTTAATGTGTACAAATTTTCTCTGCAGCTCATGTCTATTGGTCAGTGATGATAAGACCTGCATCACATTCCTAAAGCCCTTTGTTTCCCCCTCTACTCTGTAGTGATCTAGATAAGCCAAGAGTGATAAATGGTTCTCAAGGTCAATAAATTGTGTTCCTGCTAATGAACTTTTACTGCCTTAAGTAATAGTAATGGCCATGGAAATTTGGGCACTGGTACAAAAACTCGTTATAGAATATATTGATTTTTTCTTTTTTTTTTTTTAACTCATCTGAAGAGATCTTTTCAACTTATTTTCAGTTTTGCTGCTAAAAACATGCTGGTATTCCTTACAAGTCCCCTTTCTCCTTGCAAATCCACACTTATATGCTTCTGTTTCCACCCCTCCCCCTGAAAGTGAGAATGATTGTGTTTTCCCACCCAATAGGTACTATTAATATTTATTTACCTCACAGTCAAGTTTTATTAATTGCTTAATTAGCAGTAGTGAAAACAATTAGTGTTTGGGAGCAGGGAGTGTTATATACATGCTAAGAGCAAAAATTAGCATAAGTGAAACACAGAGGTTGAATCTAAATAAAGACAACAAATCTAGCCTTTTAATGTGAGCGGTGCCAAGGCTCCAAAAGAGCCTCTGGCAAGTGGCATGTGTGTGTACGGGTGCATACACCCACGGCCCCTACTTTATAGCCGCTGCCCTCCTAGAGCTTATACCTGTGTGCCTTGCTCTGACATGACATTCCTTTGCTCTGCTCTTCATTAGTAGGCAGCCATCAGTTGAAAACATCCTAAGCATAGGCTTCCTATTTACCTAAAAAGGTGAGGGGAGTATAAGCTATGCATTGAGCTATTATACCATGCGCTGTCTCTTTACCTTCTGTAAATAGATTGGATAAGCCTGGAAATGATGATGCACCTCGGGTAAAGCCTTGGAAGATTTTAATAGATCTCTCTGTAGCTGCACACTCAGGTTGCCACCTGGTTATGTATGGCTCACACCTACTCACCTCTGTGACTCGGGGAGCAGAGCTGTGGGCTGGCACCCTGTCTTGCTTGCAGAGCCTTAAGTAAGATCTTAGTTGCCCTTAGTTGCCCAATCTGTAGTTGCCCCACATCAGAATATATAGATGGATAAACTAGTAGTATATCCCACCATCACTAGAGAGTAAAAGAATTCACTATCATCTTCCCCTTTAACAACATAATCACAGAAGTTTACTAAGTTCCTACCACTCTGTGGGGTCCTGTACTAGAGGATGAAAGAAAAGTGTCAGACAATATGCTTATGCTGGTGTTTCTGTATCTTCTTATGCTTTTTGAGGAACATGTTACCTAATTGACAACAGTAAGTCCAAAGCTTGAAAGAAAATCAACACAAAGTTGTATGTGACATTAATTAAATGTCACAGAAGAAGCATTGAGGGCTTACTGGAGTTCAGAAAAGGGAGCAGATAGAAGTGGAGGATGCCAGGTTAAAGCATCAGGAAGGAGACAGAATTTGAGCTGGATGCCACCCAAAGAGCCAGACTTGGACTGGAAGAATGAGGAGGTGGATGAGCTTGGACTGGAAGAATGAGGAGGTGGATGAGAAGCCAGAGGGAGGTGAGGCAGGAAGGATGGGGTCAGAATGCATGGCACTTTTGAGAACAAGAAGACCCTTGTTCTTCACATGGTAAAAGCAGAAGCCTGTAAAAAAAAATCATGAAATAGTGTAAGATAAAGTTTGAAATACAGCATAGGGTCAGCTTTTGAAGAACCTTGCCTTAGGGCTTTATTCTACCTGGTCTTTCTTGAACCTCATCAGAGGATGTAGACATGTCAGTACAAGTATCTTAATTGTAAGTTTGTTTGGAAAGAAGCTCCTTGGGATTCCAGAGAATCCTAAAGCTCTGTTTTCTCAGCTCCCCTCATGAAAGCTGGGGGAGAGTTCTCGGTGGTGTTTGAACTATTATTCAAAAGAGCTGCTCTAAGGGGACGCCGAGGTATGGTTCTTCCACTTCTTCCCCAGCACTGAGACCAGAACACCCCCAAAAGATACGGAAATCCACTAGTGTAGAGGATGGGAAAGTTCCAGGCGGCCTTGTAAGCCTTCACTTCACAGATGCTTCACTCCATCTAAATGCATCACTGATTTGATTAGCAACCGCATTGAGAATTTCAGCTCGTTTCCACAAATGACAGCGAAGGGCTCCGTCAAAAGTGATAGTTTCTTTAGTTCATCAAATCTCTATTCACTGCAAAAACATTACTGTCCTTGTGGCTTGTGCTTGATGACTGCTTTTATGAAGACAGTGAAAAGGCCAAATATATAGGTGGAAGCTTAAATTGACTTTATATTGCTGAGATTTACCATCTTTAAAAATAGTATGCTAGATTAATGCATTTCTGATTTCAAGGTGCTGTTTTGTTGTTGTTTTTTTTATATATTGGCTTTCCTGAACATAATAATTCTATCGGACAATGGGCTGTGGAAGAAAATATTATGTGTGATTTATTTCTGGGAGTTTGAAGACTAAAAATACTATTTTTTACTAATGTGTCTGAAACAGCAGGTGAATATGGTTATAATATGCAAAACTATCTTTCAATTATAGACTTTTTTCCCTTTCATTGTGTTTTTTGCAGGATCTGAGGGAGGAATGTGTAAAGTTGAAAACGAGAGTGTTTGATTTGGAACAACAGAATCGAACATTAAGCATCCTTTTCCAACAGCGAGTCAGACCAACTTCTGATCTCCTCCTCCAGGTATGTGTTTTTGTGGAAAACAGTCTTTGCTACTGAAATGCTGTTGACAAGAAGTGACTTAAGTTCAAAAGTTACCACTGTCTTCATGGTGGTACTTCAGAACATCCTTCAGAACAACTTCAGAACATCCATTTTCTCTGCTCTCAAGGGGTGTCGTTAAAATTGAACGTCTCTTAAATCTCTGACTCGTTAAAGATAATTTTGGTAAAGAAATGCATCAACAAACAATAAACAGGTAAAAGGGAACAATCAGAGGTATCATCTGGTTAACTCAGTGAAACCGGGAAATGGAGTCAGAAAATAATTGATTGCTTTGGGAACCTTAGTACCTTTGCACTCCATGATGAGCAAGGTAGAGTTTTATGTAATGGCCAAAGAGCATTTCTTTATTTCAAACACTCTGTAATAAAAAAAAAAAAAAACAGCCAGGGTTTGTTGTGCTTTTATATCTCTGTCTATGCCGCCTGCCTCCTCACAAGCTAAGACTTCTTCCACTGTGCCTCAGTATTTTACAGGTTCTGTTTGTCTAAGTGTCTTCACCAAACTCTTTCAGTTGCCTTTATAACAGGCAAAGTCATGGAAAGTCAAACCATTTGAATCATTTTAAAGGTGTCCCTGAGAAAGCGCTAGAAAATATATCTGAGTGCAGGAAGACACATGGATTGGCAGAGGGGTCTGGAAAGCTGATATTTGCCATTGCCTATTTTTTTAAAAAAATCCTCTTAATGTGCATATTTGCTCAAACAAGCTCCAGTGAGCCTTGCTCAGAGCCCTTTTGAGACCAAGCTGGCATGGAGTATGTGGGGTTTCACAGGGGCAGTGCACGGTGTGTGAAGGATAAACCCCAGCTGCGAGATATCGTCTAGACTAGCCTGGACAGTACTGTAGCCACTAGCCAAATGGCGCTATTGAAATTTTAAATTAAGTTTCTACTTCAAACTCATCAGATTGCAGGTGTTGAAAAGCTACACATGACCAGCAGCTACCATATTAGACAGTGTTTGTATAGAACATTTCTGTCATCTAGAAAGTTCAGCATGTTTCCAGATGGTTGAGACGGTGTTGCTAATTTACCCTCGAACTTTGGCACAAGCGTCTTCACCCGACTCCTCAGGGAAACAATGAGAAATTGTAGTTCATGTCAGAGAAAGACAGATGTTTGGTAAAGCCTCTCTTCAAAATGTAACCCCTCCACACACACAAATGAAAAGAGCTCTCAATTGTAACATAGATCTCATCTCTTAAATTAATTTTCTCCCTGCTTTATCTATTAGTGCTTAATTCATAATTTATGGGTCACAAATTGTGTGGAAAAAAATCATCTCTCTCTGTTCTGTTTCCTGATCCCAGCCACGATAAATGTTGGTCAGAGAGACCCTTGCATCTGTAAAAAGTTGTATCTCATTTGCTCTCTTATAATCAAGATCCAATATTGTAATTACTTTGAACAGTTGTTGCATGTTCATGAGTTTTTCCGTTTTGCTTGTTTTAACTTGAGGCTTTTCTGGAATAATTTTTAAGGATCTCTAGTCCCTGCTTGGGATGGGGGAGCATGGTGGGCTGCTGTCTATGGGGTCGCACAGAGTCAGACACGACTGGAGTGACTTAGCAGCAGCAGCAGTCCCTGCATATGAATCATGTTTATTTTCGCAGTAGGCACATGTGCCATAGATATTTAAGCTGTTTCATTAGCTATCACAAATTTCTTAAATACACATCCAAATGGCAGAGGATGGTGTTTCTTCTAACAATAGAACTCAGTATTTATTCATTGGGTGTTTTCCACCAACACACTGTTTCTCCCCAAATAGATCTCCTTTCCAGGAGCCATTCTAATTTAAATGAAATTTGTAAAAGACAGGATGACAATATTAGTACTGCCAGGTAGAATAATAAGGGCGATATCTGCCTTCTAACATGTAAGAACTCACAATCATAGACAAAATTGCTGGCTTTGCAGGTGGTCTGTTCCTCATGTGACCTGTGATTTTTTTTTTCTTTCTGATGGCATAAATGCGTATCATGGAGCACGGGCTAAAGTAGAAGCAATTTGAGTTTGCTTTGCCTTGCGAGAACCTGTGGAAGCTCTGTAATTATTTGTTGAATGAAATAAATGACCCAGATTCATTCTATAAGCTGGAGAGTTACTTTACATACACTTAAGAGAGGTTTACACGCTGCCTCTTCTGAGTGTTTCCTGTCTGTGTGGATGCTTTGGAACTATGCAACTATGCTGGTCCAGCCCAGTCTGTTGGAGGGCATGGCTGGTGAGTGCAGCAAATCCATCAGTATGCCTGGTCCTGAGTATGATAGATGTTTTAGGTTCTGCCCATGGACTACAGGTTCAGTACAATTTTTCATCCTATCTTAAAAAAACTGCATTAGTTGTCATCTGCTGAATACAGTCTAATGATTCTGTGTAATCTAAGTAGCTACCTAAAGAGAGATACAGAAAGAAGATTATTGAACACATTGTGAGTTTAGTAGATACATTGTAAGTAATGGAAAAGAAAATAATTTATAAAAATAATTAATTCTTTGTCCCTCCAAAATAGAGAATGAGAGGGTTACCTGGATATTATCTAGCATATTCTGACGTAGGAGGAATAAAAAGGGTTAGTTCTAAGGGTTAATTGTCAGATTCTCGGAAACTTACAAAGAGAACCAGGTCGGTGATGGGAAAGAAAAGAAGCCTAACCTGAAATTTAAATCTTAAGAATGGTCATAAACTTCTCTGTTGGTTCCAGTTTCCAGTAAAGCATCTCTGGGACTATGGATAGTAACAAATCAGATTAAGAAGTTCCTTTATATTAAAAGAATTTTCTAAATTCTAATGAACTAAGAAACTGGTATAGCAAATAAAATCCAAAAGTAACATTCTTAATGGAATTGGAGTCTCTATCTTTATTCGAACTTACTGGTCAGATTAAATAATGCTCACCTTTGCCACTTAAAAATCATATTAAATAACACTGTCAATTTACTGGACTAGCAGAGAGCTCTCTGCCAAGAATACTTCTCTGACCAGTTGAGTTATAAATGAGTTATGTTTGTAACTCATTCTCACATGACTATCATTTGTCTTGGTAATTATGTGATTTTAAGTACATTATAAACCAATGAAATGTGGTGAAAAAAGAACTGTTTCTATAAAACAAAGTTGAATGCTTCAAAAGCATGTAAAGGCATATCTCTAAAAGAGTGGGATCAAATAATATTTGTGTCTAATGCAAAAACAAAAAAAAAATTGTGGGAGATGGGGAGTTATATTAAATGTAGAAGCATGATGCATGCAAGTTGCTTCTCAAGTGGTTTTAAGTTCTTGTTCCACTGTTAAGAAAAACAAAACCTAGCATATGTTTGATGCCAAAATAAGACATTGGAAGATTTAATAATAGGATCCCTGGAAAAGAAGCAGCCTTGGCCCTACTAAAAAAAGAATGTTATTTAACAAGCACATAGTGCTTATGATGTCAAATACTGTTCTCCAACCTTTGCAGTGTTCATCAGTGTACTCTCCATTATAGTCCTGTGAGGTAAGAACTACATCTGCACCCATTTTACAGATGGGGACACTTAGGCACAAAGAGCCTGTGTCACCCAGCGGTAATTGACAGAGTGGAAATTTAAGTTCATGGTCTGGGTCCAGTTGCTCACTTTGCATGGAGCACAAGTGGACTTGAGGATCATTTTCTGATTCTGTACGCTGACATTTTGATTAACATTTTGATTAACCACTTGTGATCAAATCAGATCCGAGGGCTTCTGCAGTGTAGTCGCAGTAAGGAGCCTAGCATATTTACACATTTCTGAAAGCCTCTTGCTTTGTGGCATTCACACCTTTCCCCTCTCTCGTGTGTCCTGCCCTGTCTTCTTTTGGACACCTGTATTATCATTATATTGATAGGACATTATTCTCATATTTTCTGCTTAACACAGTTTTCTTTTTCTTTTCCTTTTTATCTGATATTTCAAAGGGTCCCATACTCATATCTTTGGACCAAAATAGAAAGCAAAGAATGTTATAGTGTAGATTATTCTCACAAACAGTTGAGAACCTGACAACTTAGAACCACGGTGTAAAAATCTGCTGTCACTTCTGAGGGTGTTGACTTCTTTTTGCTAGTGTTTTGTTTTATATTATTATTTCAGATGAGACAGTTTTTAAAATTCTTCTTGTGCTTCTGATGTATTTTTCCTTCCCTGAATTTATTTTCAGAGTGTAAATCTCTCCAAGAGTCTTATTTGGACACTACACAACACACTCACCTCTCCACCCTTCCTTAAGCAATGAAACCAGAACTGGTTTTCTGAGAACCAGTCTAATTCTCCTGCCATTCAGGGGCCTTCCAGAGTCATGTTGGTCCTCACTGAACTTCCCCTCTGCTGGAGCTTCCATAGTATTGGTAATCTATACCACAGTATAAGCAGTTCATTCATTGTCCTGTATACAATTCAGTTCAGTTCAGTCGCTCAGTCGTGTCCGACTCTTTGCGACCCCGTAAATCACAGCATGCCAGGCCTCCCTGTCCATCACCAACTCCTGGAGTTTACCCAAACTCATGTCCATCGAGTCAGTGATGCCATCCAACCATCTCATCCTCTGTCGTCCCCTTCTCCTATTGCCCCCAGTCCCTCCCAACATCAGGGTGTTTTCCAATGAGTCAACTCTTCCCATGAGGTGGCCAAAGTACTGGAGTTTCAGATTCAACATCAGTCCTTCCAGTGAACACCCAAGCCTGATCTCCTTTAGGATGGACTGGTTGGATCTCCTTGCAGTCCAAGGGACTCTCAAGAGTCTTCTCCAACACCACAGTTCAAAAGCATCAATTTTTCGGTGCTCAGCTTTCTTCACAGTCCAACTCTCACATCCATACATGACCACTGGAAAAACCTTAGCCTTGACCAGATGGACCTTTGTTGGCATAGTAATGCCTCTGCTTTTTAATATGCTGTCTAGTTTGGTCATAACTTTCCTTCCAAGGAGTAAGCGTCTTTTA